CCGATGGCATGTTGTTCCCGGACGGGGTTTACACACACATGTACGCCATTATTCCCTATAGCTGTACTGACAAGGAATCGACCGCATAAAAACCGAACGGAGTGTTTAACACGACATAATACTGTGTAGGAATTATAAATAGAGCACGGTACTTAAATTATCGAACTTTAAATATTCCGATGCGAGTACCTATATATGGCATTATATTATTATTATTATTATTATTACAGCGACCGATCGCGTCCCGGTGAAATAATTGGTATTGGAAAATATAAATATGCGAACATATTGTTGTAAAGCTCCTCGTTTATTATTACCATTTATAATACGGGTATATAGAACCGGCTGCACGTAGTCTAAGCTCCGGAGACTGTGAAATCGTCTGTGTTTATATTATAATATAATATATATATATATATATTATTAAGTATTATATACCTATTTCGATCTTATTACTGTTTTCAAACTCCAAAGGTCTTTTGAAATTAATAATCGGTTCGAGCATTCTGGGAAATGAGCTTATAAAATGCTTATATTATATTTATGCACTTCAAATGGAGTTTTTTTTTTTGTCAATAAATTGCTAAAGTAAAAATAAATACACTACGGAGAGGTTTTCTTTTCACGGAAAATTAATTATTCAAACGATACTATAATTAGGTAGTTATAAGGAACGCCAAAGCCATGAAGGTTCAAATCCGAACTGCAAGTATAGAAAAAACCAAATATATATCACAATGACACAATATTTAAAATTCGAGTTAAGATAAGACTAATTAATATTAACGTCAATGTTTTATTCGAATCTTAAAGCGATTGAACTATCATAACTCGTGAGGTCTTGAATTTTGCTCTGTGACATTATGTTTAGTGCGTATATATTATATATCATAATCTTGGTTGACTTCTGAAAGCGAGGGGACACATTCATCCTCCCCTTTAAGTTCGAATTTTTTTTATAAATAAAGCTATAGTTCCTATAAAATAAAAGTAAAATGCCGATGTCGGATCGTCATCGAAGAATTAAATTAAATTAAATTAAATTTTGGTTTATGGTATTTTTTTTATGCTTTTTCGATTTTAAGATTTTATATATGCTGATGATATAACTTAGACATAAAAGACGTATAAAACAGTGAAATATTTGATTTAATTGTAAGTTATTAAATAAGATCAAGTGAACATAATATAATTAATACAAACAAAGCAAAAAAATGAGTGGACTCTATCTGAAAAACATATTTTATGAATACAAATTGTAGACGTTAGCTGTAAAATAAAACTTGCCAAGTTTTTGAATATAAGTTTTTGAAATTTTCAGTGAATGTCCATTGTTCCGCAAGACTGCTGGTGGGAAAATGTCCAAATACAAGTTCGTTATTATTATTGAATTATACTTCATACTTCGTCTAAGGCCGCAACAACCTTTGTCTCGTTAAAAACCGTCAGTGTCACATGAGCTCATTTAAACAGAGTGGTCATTCTTTATAATAATATTATACACACAACGTCTGACATTGACTTTATTTTACTACATTTTTTCCCCCATTTTTCTTATAGATTAAATTATGATATTCGAGTAAAAAAACTTTACTTTTTTAATCAACGTTAAAAATGGTTGAATTAAAAAAAATATATATAATACATGTGTATAATTATTATTATTTTACATGTTAAATAATTATCAACATTCAAACAGTTATTTGTTTATTTAGTTTAAATTATTGATTTGAACATTGTAGTTTTCTTTGCAGTATATTTTTTTACTTGCAGACCTTCATACAGAATATTTCGTTTTGTGGTTATATTGCCATGCAGTTGTCGGTTACCAAATAAAACGGTTTCAATTAAATTTCTAATTACCTTTTCATGTAAAGGAAATTATACACATAAAGCGTTTTAGGTGGTCTAGAAAAATGTATTTTAATTTCGTTTTATATCTATAAAATCTTGAAAACTTTAAACTTAGTTTCAGATTTTCAGCGGAACGGGGGACATGTTAATTTCTTATAGATATGCAAATTTGTTAATTGAAAATCAATCTCTACTGGAGTAAAAGCGCTATGACTTGTGCATATGACGTCTTAATATTTGATAAAAGAATCTGGAGGAATGCAAATTACATTTATATAGAGTTTACATAATTATTTTGCAAGGCATTCATAAATGGTGCAAAAACCATTAAAGGTTTAAATAACGTGGAATACGGAACAATGAACACAAATCAATGGCCAATTATAGGCTGGAACACGAAATTTAAATCAATAAAATCACGGGCACAACCGAATTATTTTCTAAAAAAAAGACCTCATCATTACGGTGTGTCAGTACCTACGGTAAATATGCATTCGCTTTCGAACGAATTAATCCACAGGGATTTAGGCCCGAGTACGGTACGAGTTGACGTTTTCTAGCACACAATATTATGTTAAAGTGCATTTAATCGATTGTAATGTCAAAGTTCTATGTTTAGTAAATAATTGGTATAGAATAATATTATATTATTCCATAGATTTACGATAGGAGCATCTTTTGGCTGTCGTTATGTTTTAGTGTTTTTAACCCGCGAATACCTCAAACATTCTTTATACTATGACGCTGGGAGATATTTTATAGGTAATATATGTAAAAGGCTAGAAAAAGATAGCCAAGGCTAGCAACTCTAATTTTCAATATAAATTCGGCACTCGAAAACGATTATTTGTCACCCTTGATTCACGGCTGCGAATTTATTCGATACAGTGAATATGAGACATATTTCTGTGTTGTAGATTGTTGATTACAGCTCAGATACCTACTAACTATTTTATATTTCTATTTCCATCAAACATGTTTTTTTGCGTTTCTATAATATTTTTTTAATGATTTATTTGAATTTATTGGTATTCAATTACATATGAGCTGGTTGGGTATGTTTGTGCAGTTTTCAGTATTCCATGCACAATCAAAACTCAAAAGTCTTCTCTTGAAAGTAAAATGTACAAAAACTCTTCTCTCACTTTATAATGCTTCAAATCGTATCAGTGTATGGTATACACATTTTATTAAAGTACATTAATATGATATTATTGATTCTACAAGTTTCTAACATTTAAAAATATAATAATGCGTTTATAATGTTTTATTATGAACCGGTGATTTTGTAAATTTTCATTTGAATGAGTAATTCTGAAGAGTTTGTAAACAATTACATTCGATTTTTTGATATTTTTTCAAATAAAGTTTTTAAAACTTTACGATTTTCGTTTACTTTCAAAATAATATTGGAAAGTTTGCTGTTCTATTCAATAAGTTCATTTTCGGAGAATAAAAATGTTCATTAGTACATGTTTCACTGGCAATTAAAAGATATTTTACCGTGATTATAATATTGTACATGCATAATACGTAGTTTTTACAGCTTATCCAATCAAAATATCCACACATTATGGTTTGGACATAAAGCTTAGGTAAGTACATAATGTTATTATGATCAACAATAAAAAAAAATAATAAAAATATATGATCATTATTTAATACTCATTGCGTGTTCACAGTTTCAACTAATTTTATCTATATATGTAAGGAAGTTTTTTAATGAAAAGAAATCGAATAATTTTGTTTAAGCTTTTGTTTGCTTTAACACAGATGTGTTATCTGTGAATATTATTTAGTAATGTCATTCAATGTGTGCTTACAATTGAATAATATCATAAGCAGAAATGTCGTACGAAGAATACAATTGATTTAGTTAATGTCGATAGGAAACAGTACGATCAGACCTTTATTTTTATTCGCATTGTAAATAGCAAAAACAAAATGCATACAGTGAGCAAATAATATTATTAATATTATTGTTATAATTTTTCATAAGACGGCGCCTTGTATATGCAATTTGAATGCAACATATTGTGTTAGAATACTGAAGGCTTTCAAATTTTTATTCAATTAAAAATGCAGTTACGCTATGTCCTACTACACCGTTTTTAATAATAATGGACAATTTTATTAGCATATAATGCACTTAATCAAGTTTATCTAATTAAAACATACTAGTACGAACTAATGAAAATGTTGACCTAGCAAAAACAAATATTTTTTATGTCGAAAAACAATTATGAATCGTACTTAAATTATAATTTAAACAAGCATAACATATTTTCTTTTTTTGTATATCTTTTCATCTACGGCCTACCTATTTCTCGACGAATATAATATATTGCGTGTCATGTTAATAATGCCAATTGCTATTGAAAGTATTTCTTACACAAGCAATGAATCACGGTAGTGAAATATGGTGGTTCTATTTTTTATATATCGAAATATCAACTATAATAAGAATAGTAATAATAATATAGTATACGGTGCCCGCCGAGAATATAGGAATTTATGGTCGGAGATGCATGCATATTTTATATGGTCCGGTAAAAATATTATTTTTTAATAATCACTTTGGCACGTTAAAAACATTGGCTACAAACACGGTCAGGCCGGATACAAAATATAAGTCAGTAGATTAAAACATCACAGTAAAACAAAATTTGATTTAAAATCGAGCAGGTCGGGACTGCAGATGGTAAATGTGACTTGACGGACCTAACTCGGCATCCCCCAGTAGTCGCGGCGCCGATACACAGTGTATAATATTATATTCTAGGAAAATCGTGATCAGTTTATTAATATTATATCTATAGATAAAAAAGAAATGGATGTGCTTTCCACATAATATATTGTGTGCAGGACGAAAAGAGAGCACTTTTTCCTCATTAAATTAATTTAAAATATTATAGTGTGATTAAATTATTGTTATTATTGACTACATTATTATATTACATTGTCATAAACACGAATCATTTTGTTTTGTTTTCATTATCACAAAACAATAAAGTCCACACATAAAAACTATACACAGTAACCATTGCATACCACTGTGGTATCTGGAGGAGTTATCCTTGTGCTCCGTGTATCCATCCATTTCTCTGTTATCTATGATCGTATTATGTGCATTGCAAATATCTTACCTTTGACGGGAGTGCTCCTCCTCCGCCGCCGGTCGATGACAGCGGTTCGGCGCTGAGCAGCTTTTGCAGCTGACTGGGCGTCGCGTCGTGCGGCTGCTGCTGTTGGTGGTGCGGCGCGACGGACGAGGACGTCGTGGACGACGACGACGACGACGACGTGGACGACGACATCGACGGCGAAGAAGACGACGCGGCGGACGCGGACGTCGACACCGAAATGGCCGACATGGATCCGAACGCCACCGTGGTGGACGCGGACGATGACGACGAGGACGACGCGGACGACGCGGACGACGACGACGAAGTCGGCGCTCCGGCGGCCACCGTGGTGGACGTGGTGGCCGCGGACGAGCCGGGCGGCGACGGCATGGGCGCGGGCGCGTACTGTATGCAACCGGAACTCGTGGACGAGGACGGCGACGCGGGTGGCGAGCCCTGATTGGACGACGGCCGGTGGTGGTGATGGTTCTCCGTGTGCCGGCGCAGCGACCGCGCGTCGCAGTACGACTTGCCGCATCCGCTGGCCTTGCACTCGAACGGTTTTTTGTGCCGGTGCGTCAGCATGTGTCCGTTCCTGTCAGGACATGCACATCGTCACCATTTTGTTCACGCGGGGTGGTTTTTTAAAATTTTTGCATTTGGGCATGACTGCCGGATGGAATGCATGCAAGTGTCCAGATGGTATAGCGTTACTCGGCGCAACCAGGGAGCGGGAAGGGATGGTTCGGGGGGGGGGGGGCTCAAGTATTTTCATAGCATCAACAAGTATAGTATTACGTTGGACAAGTAATTATATTGTATATAATATCCATGTATTATAATCACGAAATATTATGTTTTTTTTCATTCGGTACAAAATTGCCGTCAAGAAACTAACTACGGCGCAAGACCATATATCGAATTGAACATTAACACTGAAATCGATGTTGTTCGTTTATTAATAAAAATTAAGTCTTATGGGAAACACAATAATATTTTAGCTACATAATTAAAATGATAGTAATTTTGTATGGAAATACAATTTTTAATTTGTCAATCAATGTGCACCAAGCCATGTAAATCTATTGATGTAAATGTATGTATTTTATTATAAGCTACTTACAAATATTATACAAACCCAAAGTGGAGGGTTTAGAGTGTATTGGAAACTTTCAGATGAGCTAACAGAGAAATATATAAAAGTTTTGCCACCGACAAAAACAATTGTCATATTGTTTTCGATGACTAGTAGTTTCGCTGACCGGGAGGAGAGGTTGGTATCATATTTACTATTCGATGTGACCTCTTAGGAGTGAGTAGAAAGCCGAATACCGAAATATTTATAGGAAATACCTTCGGAAAACGTCGTCATATAATTTGGGATATGATATAAAAAAAAACCACCCTGCATAGATTATAATATCCAAGTAGTACCCAGTAATGATATCAAAAATTAGTCGCCTGGAAAACGTATCGAACCTAAAATCACCCTAAGAACGTTCATACGGCACCTTCAGTCCATCCCGCCAGTAGTATTGTCGCGGTGGATAACAACTCGTCCCTCAATCCACTGACCTTGACCCGATTACCGTTTCACACGATATAGCTAATGGGTATATAAATCGGAAACGCGTAAATGGCGTACGCCATCCGAATAATAATGATAAACGACACTGAAAATCGTCTTTTTTTCTATAGGTAATGTTTTCTCATCCACCCGTCGTCGAGTACGAGAAAAAAAAATGCTTTGAAAAATATATTTTTCATTCTCGTGGGACCATCGCGGCGACATTATCAACGAAAACGTTGTGAAGTAAACTAATTAAAACGGATTTGACGGCCTTACGGAAATACACGGTAAGATAACGCGGTAATAAACGCGCCGAAAAGCAGAAGACCCTTTTTGCGGTGGACATTTTATAACAACACTTTTAGCGTTTGCCAGGACGATAAAAGTATATATATTTTAATAGGTGTGTGTGTGCGTGTGTGTGTACTTTTAAGGATATATATAAGCGCGTTGTGCGGCGGCGTGAACCTATGTCAAAATTATCATCATCTCGTTATGTGTTGCAGACCTGCATGGTTCACGAATAATCGGGGGCATTATAATAATAACTATTACATTTTTTTAAATTCTTTTTTTTTTTTTTATTATTATTAATTTCCACGGTGTAGTAGAAAAATGTCCGTTCATTCAAAAACATTTATTTACACCATGACCGCACCCCATCCCGCCACAGCGCGTATAGTAGCGAAGTAATTGTTTTATTTCCTTCTCATTGTACCCACGTTTCCCGTGGTCGTGTATATATGTACACGAATGTACGTATACGTATGCATGTATATATATATATATGTATACGCATACACTACGCAGCCAAGCACTAGAATTTTATCCACGGTACTTTTTTTTTTTCCACCGTGATAATATAATGTCGGAAATGAAACAGTGGGATTTGGCGTATTATTACAGAATCGCCGAAACACGAGCACGGTCGGAAATGCTAACGACTATTGTTCAAAGAACAATCCGGATAAAGTTCTCTCGTCGTTTTCTACACTGGAACACTGTGCGGGCAGAGCGGTAGTGCCAGGTCCTGGTATACGGTATAGTACCGGTGGGTGGGGGTGGGGGGGCTGAGTGAGTAGTGGTTCGGGGGACGGGAGGGGCGTGGCGTTAATAGATTTATAGCTGTATTACAGCGCCGAAATTATTGCTCCGGTTTCCCTTCGGCTGATATACGACCTAACCCGGTGTGGGTGTGTGGGTGCTTGTGTGCGTGTGTGTGTGTGTGTGTATGGGAATCCGCCCTCTCGTATACCTGGTTGAGTGTTTTCTTCCTTTTATTTTTTTTTTCAACTCCTCTGCCCGTCCCTCGCCCACGAGTACCCATTCCACTGTGCGTTATCGGCAAGAGAAACAACACACCAAAAACTAAATCATTGACAATCGATTGGGTCACGGGGATATAAATCGGTACCGGGATCGGAGACCATCCGAAAGGCTTGCGAGTCTATCCCTGTCGGCCGATCATCTTGGCTATTGAGAAACCAATTTTAGCAACCATTTATCTCGGACGGCAGGTAAGAAGGGCGTCCTCCGGGGATTCCTGGTTCTGACGATAGGGTTCGTTTAAAATATTATCGAGTTAGAGGGGACGAAATTGTTATTTCCGTCGGCGCTCCACCGACGGCGATGGCCAATTTCGTGATACATATTTTGCGAGTCGGCTTGGAATACGTGAAATATAAGCGTTCCCTGGTGACAATATTATTTTTCCTCTCAAAATGATTCGGGGACGTAAGTATTTCAAATGAATTTCTATTTTCAGTGTTTCAGAACTCTACGGAATCAATGTCAATCAAAATTCAATCAACAATATCAATCTGCACTGTTTAATGTGATAATTCATACGTTGAAATATAATATAATATAGAAAAATAGAGTACTATTACACGATGCACATCAAACGGAATAGTGGCTGTCAATAAATGCAATTAACATTTATATTTCAAACGATAATTTATTGTACTTAATATAGAATGAGACATTTTTTTTTATCCAAGCACTGTTATTCCGTTGTACATAATATAGTTATAACGCTATTGATCTTGTTGGACATTTATATTTTATTACTATTTGACACTATAGGTGTATGGAAGTTAATTATTTCACAAAAAATCTATTGCTAGTTATCCTGCTTACAGAATGTATTTTATCGCTCTTGAAAAATTAACGTTTGACGACAAAAATAATTACACTCAAAATAATTTAATTTATATATTTGTCCGATGATATTTTTATGCAGTATAGGACAATACTGCACAAAGATGATACTTTTGTTATTTATTTACACAGAGCTATCAAAATTACATTTTGAAAAATACATAAATAATATTCTAAACTTTAATTACACGAAACTTGAATAACGATAATACTATTATGATTGCGCTAAGTAAGGTTCATCATAAATACGCATTTCTGAAGTTTATGAAAGATTTAATAAATGCTAACATAATATATTAAATGTTTGAGCTTAGAGCAGTGTATTCTAAACTAAATATGAAATACCTATACGAACATATTTAAACTATTTATAAAATAAGTGTATTTAATTAAAATAGTTAAATAAATAATAATATGCTCGACATTTAATATTAGAACATCGGTGATGATGTTTTTAACGAGTTTAAAATTATTTAGTTATAAACTGCGTTAAAACTTAAAACATCGGTATCAAGAATATTGTTGTTGGAACACTCGATTATTGTTCTAACTCCGTGCATTTATTTATACCAAACCGGTATGTAGGACAACAACAATCATATTTCGAAAACAATGATTTATAATTAAAGCCGAGTAAACCCAACTAGGACGTTTAAGTTTAATCATAATGCTCATTTAGTATAAGTAGGCAGTCTATTTTTAATGAGAAATAGTCGTCTTATGGTTCTCTCGGGGTTTGTTTGCAAGAAACACACGCTGCTGGTTACTTAAAAAATTATTTTTAATTTTTTTAATTTTAAGACGAGCCCGGTGTTCGAACCATATTTCCAAAATTAAAAAAAAAAAAAACACAAAACTTTTGCATTGTTTTAGTTGAATTTAAATGAACTCCGTTCGTCCGCGTCTGACCTACATTACGAACGCACAACATCGCGCGGGCGGCACGGGGAGCGGGCGCAGAGGGCGAATGCCAAAGGATCTTATTTCGAAATAAGAGAAACACTGTCGAATTGACGTTTTCCATAGTTGGCATTTGAATGTTTAAAGGTTACGTATTCGTTCCATCAAACGGACAGCCGCCAGGAGCGTGATGGAAATGCTGTGTACGTAGGTATAATATGTATATTATGTATGCCCCGGCGACACGTGGGCGGGCGCCGTGAGTGAGTGGGTTAGGCGTGGTAGTCTTTGTCCGTTTTTAATTTTGTCCTCCTTGAGAAACACCTCACGTACCATAACCGAAAACGAGACTGTTTATGTGCGTATGTATATTATATATTATCACGCGCGTATGACGTTATTTTCCCGAATCGCCGATTTATCCACCCGGGAGGGTTGTCGGCCATTCGATTATTCACGCGTGTAGGTATATAACATAATGGGCGATGGTAGGCAATGCGTTGACCCGTTTTCCCAGACGTCGACGACGACACTGCCAAAAATGTGACCGGAATACATTTTCCAATTTACGGAAAAACCACTACGGGTATCAGGTTTTCTACGAACATTTATTTCGAAATAAATACTTTTGTTATTATTATTGTTATTGGCGCCGGCGTTGAACCTATGCGCGGTAATTCATACACGAGGATATTCCAAACAGCTTGTAAGGTCACGGGTGTGCACGTGCGAGTGTGAAATTTGTTGTTGGGAGGGGAGGGGTAGGAAAAAAAATACTATTTACGTAATAATATATCATGCACGCGCACAGGTACTTAGGCAATAACGCCGATGCGGTTATACTTATATCTCGGGCGGGGTTGCGTTTTCAATTTCCCGACGTAATGAAAACCGATACTTGTCGATGTACGTAAGTCGGGAACTCCGTCCAAGGGGATATTATAGGGTACAACAACCACCCACCGTACCAGCGTTAGCGGGACCGCTATCGGTTGCAGTGGCCGGAGGCTAGTGCTGCAGCTGCGGCGGCGGCGATGGGGTGGTGTTGGACGCTGTTGTCGGCGAGTCAGTGGTGGTTGTTGGGGTGGGGGTGTCGGTTGGAGGGATGGTGGCAGTGGTGGTCATAGCCCCTGGTGAGAGGTAGCGGGAAGTGGAGAAAAGGTCACAATAAATATGAAAAAAAGGTCCTATGTGAACATAAATTATTGTTAGGCTACGACCGTTCTCGGAGGTTTAAAAAAATAAATAATAAATAAATAAATAAAAATATATCTATGTAAATACGGTATAATTTGAAAATATCAACCGAGACGGATGAAATTATGATCGAGTGTGTATGTGTGCGGTGGTACAAAAAAAAAAAATATAATATAAACATAAAAAATAAAATACGCGAAAAAGTTAATATTTTTCTGGTGCACTTAGAATAACAGGTCGGTTCGATGGTTCATGCGCCACGCACATGATGTATGACGTATTTTACAATTATATATTTTAATACGTAGGCATAATATTATAATATGGATCGTTGATTTTTCTACAAATAATTAATATTATAATAGTACGTTGTACAAGGAAACACTTACAAGTGGTCTTGTCTTTTGAAAGCTTTGCTGCAAACGTTGCACACGTACTTCCGTTCGTCGCTGTGTGTCAACTTGTGTTTGGCCAGTGCAGACGCGTTCCCAAACACTTTCCCGCAGGTCTGTAACACACGAATTTTTAACGATTTTATTAATACTTAATGCATAGCATACCTGGTCATCGCAATAAAAATAATATAGTCCTCGAGGATCATTAATTTTCACCCTTACGACCATTGTATAGCATAACACTGTAATTGTTGCAATAATATTGTATTGCGTGCCTACACCAAGTGTGACGATAATAATTCGTGTACGACGAGCAAGATACCATTAGGCATTATGAGTGGCAGGTGGTCGTACAATGACGTGAAGGGTGTGTGCGGGGAGGGGGGGGTTAAATGTGGTATTGACAGTTTGACCGTCACCGGGAAGAAAAAATATAGGTATTTGTTTTGCACGAGCTCCTACGGCATCATTTCATATTGATGCTAAAAGCTATAAGTTGTACGTACATGACATCACATGTTACGTTCGATATTATAATCTGTCACACACTGTGTGTGGTCAACATGCACTTTTCAGATGTATGATTATTTGTTCGACTTGACTCCAAAGCGTTTAGACGTCGCGTGGAGTTAGCTCGTTTATTTCCGAACGCGACGTGTTTAAAAATGTCAGCGCCAAACAAAATATAGTATATTTTTCTCCGGAGACATCCCCGAATCGATTGGACCTAGAAAATAATAATCGGTCGACAACTGTTAGCTGATCAATAAATTAAAACCGCGTCGCTTTATTTGTTTTCGCTGTTACTCTTTTACGTCCCTGTACAATGTTCATCGCTATATAGATCACGATAAATATCATTTCAAAACAATATTCTTTTTTGAATGACAGATGACCTGTGTGATGTTCATCGGCCATTCGGCCATTACTCATTGCGAAGCGGTACAAAAGTTATGTAAAATGACGTTCGTTGGTAACATTTTTGATCAGCAGAATATATTATTTCGTGTTCTACTTGTTTGTATAGTCTTGTAAACGTTTGTCAACTACTTTATTTATCTCGTGTACTTGTGATAAACAAACATGTAATACATGTTATTGACATATTATAAATACTATTAAAACGCAACGTGTATATGCGTACACACAATGTAATTTAACTTCAAAACCTCATTAACATTATTCCAACGTGAAACAAACGGTTAAATATATTTGCACAGCAGAATATATTATAACGGTAATGTATTCATTTGAGCTTATTACAAGGCGATACTTTAAAAATTACACTGTTTATATTATTTTTCACTTTTTACAGTAGCGATAGTTTTAACTATCGATACTGTCAATTAAAATTCCACTATATTATCTATTTCACAGTATTTGAAATAATAATGATATACATAATAATAATAATAATAATAATAATAAAAGATTGGTTTGTACATCCGATAATTTCTATTTGTCTTTTTCCCACTCCGAACGTTATCCTAACGAGATTAATTAATTATAAATTCGTGTTGCTGCAGCGTTTACGATTGAACAGAACAAAAACTTGCAATTGCTAGCCTCCACCAATTTATTATTATAAAACGCTCGTTAATCAACGATCTTAATGTCTTCTTGAAGAATTTTAACGAGCACTCGTTAAAAAAGAACAAAAAATAGAAGACGAACAAAAAAGAAAGTGAACTACTTCCTTTTAGGTGGTCGGATAATAGGGGTGAGGGGAAATGAGATTTTACTTATTATTTGCAATTTGTGTACATAAATCGTAACGAACTAAGAAAAAAAACCTATTAAAATTATTTGAGACTGCTAACTTCTTCACGCGGAATGAATTGAATGTACATTTGGAAATTAACCGTTTAAAATCGTAAGGATTATTGTCCTAAAACTTCTAGTCGCGTTGGAATAAATTGCGCTACCTTAGCCCGCTGATTTATAACTCTTCCTCAATTTATAGGACTTTACAAACGTCCATTAAAGGTTTTCTGTAGAAATGTTTCTACTCTCATTGCACTTAGACCCAAATGTTGGGTTACTTTTCATCATCTCCTTTGCCTTATCCCATTTAGTCGCTGTCGGCTACCCGTTCTTCTCTTTAATCTTGCTTTTCGGAAACACCATAATGTTCTCACTTGGTATCGCGTTTAATATAATATATATATCACACGTACCTACATAAACGTTGGATAGATTTAATTCCATTATTAAACATTATTAGTATTTTACTAACCCCCTGTGTGGTTTATTATTGTTAAAAAATATGTGTTCAAAATTTTTTTTGGTGTTCATTTTATGAATTCGTTAAGGTTTGTGTTTTAATTTTGATGGCATTTTATTCAAATTAATATTCGACAAATTGTGTCTCATGGAACATTCAGACGCTTTATTATAATTGCAAAGAGCGCATATTGTACAACAACCACGGTTTACTCTGGTACCAATACACAAATTGTACTATATGTTTCATAACGGAACTTAAAATTATTTAAGTAAATAACTAAAATCAAACAGTTTAATTTGATGCATATGTCAAAAAATCTATTCAATAGTTATAATGCGCGGAAAATGCTTACAAATAAGTGTAACTTTTGTTGTGATAAAAATGAGAGTAAATATCGAAGTTTTAGTATTCGATATGTTAAAGTGCATATCTGGCAAGGAAAGGATTCGAGGACTGAGGCTGAGCACCCCTTTAAAAACAGATCTCTATTTGTCGTCTAGATAATCATGAACGATGAATGTTATCCATGGGAAATGAGAAAATTTAGCATTTCTTTTAGCTCATTAGTATAAGGAAAATACGATTTACATGTAGAGTACTTCACATAACATTGTTGGTTCCTTGTAGAATCCTCTTGAAGTGAACGCAGTTTCTCTCCGGTAAAAAAAAAAAAAAAACGATGGGAACGTATTATATTATTCTACTCGGGTGCTTCGGAAGTGAATAGGTGAAACAGCGAGTATAAAGTATAGTAAGAAGGCCACGGCAGACATTGCACACTAAGGTTTATTATTATTATGATTATGATTATAATGTTAGGTTGCGGTAGCTCTTTTTGAAGTGGCTTATTATTATTATTATTATTATTATTATTATTATTACGATTATTATTATTATTATTTTTTTAACTTCGGAGGACGAAGCGATGTGGTGGCTTCATTTTGATTCCGAGGGGTTGTAAACAGCAGCCGGCGGTCGGTCCACAGTCAAATTTAATGAAACGCATAACTTTTAAAACTTTACCCGCCAGCGATATTAAAACATAGTGTGCGTGTGTGAGAGTGCGGTATACCCCGTTATTTATTTATATCAGCCCACTCTCTTTGATGTTATAAAATGCAAATGTTCCCAATGTCTTCGTTAACCTCTCCCGCTTGTCATCAGACCTTTTGCTCTTTGGAGAGAATAATGTTTGCACTTGATATTTATTTCACGAATCATTGTAAACGTTTATCTTCGATGTCCCATTATAAATAAAGTGCCATCTTATTGGTATAGATTAAATTATTATTATTATGACTATGTATGCCACGCATGGCCGTTTCAGTTATAATTGTTCGAAAATTATGGGAAGAGTACCGCGGAAGGTTGACCTGACCTTTCAAAAATGAATACATGAATGACACTACGCTGTATTATACTTTACTATATTTTTAGGATGATCAATTTAGTGTATTTCATGTGAAACTATCTATAGAACGATCACCATTGCTGTTTTAAGTACACTTTATTCTGATGACGCATAAAAAAACGTGAATGATTTAAATTAAAAGATAATAATATTTCAACGATGATTTAGTTACTTTTATACGTACGAATGGACTATACATATTGATATTATAGGTTCAACGTGCATAATCTGTCTGTATCGTTTTTAACGGTCGGGGAGAAATGAAAGTAATTCGTTTTGAGCACGAGTCGTTCGAATGACAATAATAATTTATAAAGGCAAATAAATAATAATAACATCGATGCAAATCGATATTAAATTAAAGGGAATAAATGGCCATAATATATTCGGTAGTGCACCGAGGTTGTCGGAGTTTCGAATTCGGTATGGAAATTCCACGAAGACGAGGGGAAAATTATCGAGAAGAAGAATATATTATGGAGACGAGACGAATGTATATACTTTAATGTAAATAAACGCATAATATCTACGGTCTTATTTTTTTATCATTATTCTGGAATTCCGTTATCGTGTCCACCCGCATAAAAATCCAATACTGCAAAATTATTAATGATTTACGATGGGTATTTTTATTTTCACGGCCAGTTAAATCATCGTTCCGACATAGATACACGGATCGCGGTAGTCCGGGTTGATGCGTTTCGCAATTAGGCATAATATTCTAATATTTTCATAACGTCCCGTGATATCTGTCTTATTCAAGTAATTGGATAACCGTCAAATAAGGGTCGCGCTAAGTCGTTTATAATCTCTTATCCGTGTCCCTTGGTCCTTCGAGTCTCCTGCAGTCGATACATATTTCTCCGCTCATCGCGTCGATACTGAATCATTATCGTGTGCTGAGTTTCCTTTCCACCGAGTTCGATTGAAATAATACCACGACATAATATTATAATGTCTATGGCGCGTTCTTATTATATGTACCTATGCAATATGGAAACGATTTGTGGCACATTATTAGTAGACAACAATATTCCGAGTCGTCCGACCGTCGTAAAAATTTCCCAGCACGTCTCTCGCCCGGGAAAACTGTACGGAGCTGGTAACTAATGTTAAACCAACACGAATTATACGCGGATGAGCGTATGCACACATTGTTGTGCAGCGAGAATTCATATTATTATTATTATTATTATTATTATTATTATTCAACGGCACCGCAGCCCCGTAGTTCGGGGTCCAAAATGATACTGCGCGTATACCAGTGCAGGTACTTGTAGTAGCAATAGTATACATAATATTTGTGTTGTAAGTGCTTAAACAAATGATAAACTATTTATCGCCGACAATAGAAATTTGTATTACCTTAATTTATTTTGCATACACGTTGATTAACTCAAAACGGTCTACTCCGCGTTCTGCAGGCCGAGTGTGCGCTGCATAATATATATTATATTATACGCACTCCGCCGGCC